AGTGCCCAGCCCTGGAGGTGTCCCAGGAAGGCCTGGGCGTGGCACTCAGTGCTCTGGGCTGGGGACAAGGTGGGCATCGGGCACAGGGTGGGCTCTGTGACCTTGGAGGGCTTTTCCAACCCCTAATGATCCTGTAATTGTACAACAAGAGCAGTTTTTGGTTGACTCCCACAGTTGAACCTCTCCTGGGAGCTGTGGAGGTCGGTGCAAACCTCTCCCAGTCCCTGCCTGCTGAACTCCAGCCGCCCCTGGCTCTGGGCAGGGCTGGTTCCAGCTGTCGTGTCGCTGCTCTGCAATGCAGGTCGGGCTGTTCCCGAGCCTCTGGGGCTGCTGACTCTCCTGAAAATTAGATGGTGAACCTTGTATAACCCTACAAAAAGAGACACTTTCACCCAGCAACATCCCCTCAGTTTTCTCTCCCTTTGGAGAAAGCTTGTGGGAAATTGCTCCTGGAGCAGCTGAGAAATGGGGGTGCTGCCCAGGGTATCACAGGGCAAAGACACAGGATGGAACTTCTGGGGTTAATGTATTCTTGAGCACTGTGGACCTGCTTAATGCATGATCTGAATCGTGGATTTACTAAGAGATTCTGTGAAGAAATTATGTGTTTTTACAAGGGTAGGGAGTGATTCATGGAAGAACTGGAACAGAAGAGCCACTAATTTGTAGGGTTTTCCCTCCTGTCTCTTTGTGGCTGCAGGAATGGGATGCTGATGTTGTTATGCTCAAGAGCCAGATGTCAAAGCTGTTGATTAGGAACAATTTACATACCTTGCCCATCACCCAGTGATCTTGTGGCCTGAATAATGTGAATTTGTGAGTTATTTGTTGCATGAAACCACATTTCTTTAGGTTTCATGTCCTTGGAGCATCTTGCAACCAAAACGTTCTTCCACTTCTCCCCTTTTTCCCTCTGGAGCAGAGGCAGGGTTTAATCTGAGCTGCCCATTTTTCCCACATCATCCAACTGCTGGACAAAGAGGGAAAACCAGCAGCATCTCTTTTAGTTTTTAAATTGGTTTCAGTCGTGATGATTTTATTTGTTTTTTGTTTGGTTGGTTGGTTGGTTGGTTTGGTTTGTTTTGGTTTTGTTTTTGTTTTTTTCCCTTGTTTTTTTGGGGTTGTTTTTTTTAATTGGAAAAAGGGCAGTTGTTTAGTCCTGGCAACACTGATGTAAACAGCTTGAATTTAAGATATTCTCCACGTTGCTCAGGGGGAAGATGTTGTCTTGGCATCTCAAATGGTCTGACAGGTTTCTAATTCCCTCAGCTCACCTGATTTTGACATCTCAGAGCACTGTGGGCATGGGAACACCTGAAGCTGGGCTGTTGGCCCTGCAGGAAGCACATCTGGCATGAAAATGAGCAACAGCCTTCAACTGAATCCCTGTTAATTGGGCACCTGGGAGAAATGTGGGCAGTGTCTGGAAATGGGCTGTGACAGGAATTTGGTGAACGGGGAGTCCTTTGGCTCTTGGGTGACACAACATGTGACAGAGTTTGGGAAATGTCCCTCA